GGGTAGCGACTGAAAAAAATTCAGTCGCATAAAGCTTGTTATTAAAGAAGCAAACGAGAATTGGAAAGGTAATGTGTTTAATTACGCTCTTGAATAAATCTTAAAATTATGAACCGGTCGAAGTCTGGGGCAAATGCCAGTTAAGTAAAATCAATTGCCTTTATTTACAAATTTACTAGGAATAATCTGAACTATAAAGAAAAAAACATAATAAAATACAAATGTATGTAATGAAAATAAACTTGCTACAGCTTGTGTGTTAGTACACTATGATAATCCCTAGAACATAGTTAACGTGATGCGATAGTTTGTTAATGTTGTTACAAGTTGCCTGCGAGTTGTCCCCCAAATGAGGGGGAAAACTTATAAAAAGAAAGTTCAAACTTTCACAACTTGCTGAAAGAATATATGAGTTTCTTATTTCTTTGGCGAACTTGTTTCGTTCTACTTTCCTATCTAAAATGTCGCAGGTTAACATATTATACTGTTCTATTATAAATGTACTAATATTTTTGTTATACTGATCTAAATATACTTACATAACAAAAACTTATGGTTCAGAACCGCTGATCAAAGAGCCTTCTGTTAATAGAATCAATTTTTCACATGAAAGTTCAATTGCTAATGAATTTTTAAAGGTACTTAAATGAATATTATATTTCATAGTAACATTTAAATCTGTAAAATGAACTGTTCCTGCTTACTTGTACTTAAAATAAACTGTATTTGTTACTGTAATAATATAATACTTAGGTAATATTATCGCCAGATCGTTAAGAAATATATCTGTAATACATATTACGCATAATTATCAACTTGCCCTTATCCTTTATGGAGGTTCGGCACAGTATGAGCTGCTCTTCCATACATCTCTATCAGCCGTCATATCTGAATCCACTCCTTTCTTAAGCATATCCTCTTTTACACAATCCATCCATACTTTCCTCGGTCTTCCTCTTCCTTTGTAGCCATCCACATTCATTCTTAACACTTTCTGTTTTATGTCCCCATCGTCTCGTCGCATAACATGTCCATGTAATAGATATTACTATATCTCTAAATAATCGTAAAATAAAGTCAAGGCAAGTAAAATACAATAGTAATGAATTGAAAGTCTGTACCGTCGGCAGATTGCAACAGTTATCACTGACCGCGATTTTAATTTAAAACTTTACAGCGCTATAAAATTTATCCAACAAACTTGATTTCAGAGCTGCATTTTCATTTTTTCTTCACGTTTGTAGCTTCCAATATAAATTCCAGCTGCAAGTTTCCTCACTGAAACATTTGTTTTAATGAAATTTAAGGAAATTTTTAAACTGCTTTTATCAGTTTTATTTATATCTGTTAAATAATAGATTTCGTTAATATTATTACACGATCAAGATTAAGATGCATATTTCAATAGTATTTCATCACTTTTATCTAAGGTAAATTACATAAAATGTTACATAAAACTAAACGTAGTTACATATATCTAAACTAAATTTATCTTCATCGCAGGACGTTAACTTTCTTTAATGTAAAGAAAATGTAAAGTCTTGTATAGTTGTTCGGCAGCTGTTTGTTGATGTACTTACAATGTTGTTCGATTGTAACTCGAAAGGACTAAAGTTAAGTTGTAAGACTAACTTTGATACAGACGAGATATCTTTTCTTTGCATTACCTTGAATTTTCATATTTACTAATTCTCTTCAATACTTAAATTAAGTGTGGCCTATGGCCTAGTCACCTTTACTTTACGGTAGGCTCCGAGCCCCTCGGTGGGGACGTATAGTGAGCTAATGATGACTTAAATTTAGCGAAAGAATTACCTTATACAAATTGTCAGACGGAGTAACTATCAAGTGTAAGTATACTTAGGTTTGATGAAAATTTAAATGATAATGACCGGCAATAAATTTAACAGAAATAGCACATAAAAGGTCCAATCTTATTAAATGTAAAACAAAAGGGAATCCGAACAGCTTCGGCGCTATTAATCTCTTTTATTTCGCTAAGCGATTTTACACTTTGATTATCCTTAATGGTACTTAAGCGCAAACTGTCTCATTAAAAACAAATTAACTTAGCCCTAACTTAGGCAGCGGATCCTCGACCCGCGCCCTAGCATTATGATTGTGTTAAATTATTACATTTCTACTAACAATTCCAGTTAAGACTCCCATTCATAAATACACCAACTTCTAATTGAAACTGAGAAACAATTAGAGTTTCATTTATTTAAATTCTGGAAATTTACGTGTCTGGATTTAAAAGCCGGCGCATTTCCTATATTGATACGAGTAGATCATTTAAAATACTTGTAAGTGCAACTAATTTTTTTATATTTATTGGTGTTTAGTTACAAAAATTCCGAGTGTACAGTAAAAAGTTTTATTTGTTTGTGTTGACGCTTTAGTAGGTCGTTTATATCGTACGAGCGATAGTTGACGCGTCGGCGATAGTTTGCTAATGTTGTTAGTGACTTCGTCTCCACTTCAAACTTGTTCAAATGTTTTCGGGAGGGTCTCTGTAACTTTGTTGTCGCAGTAACGTGCTGGTACACGGCCTCAAATAGTTTCAACATGTTATACACTTCGCGAAACACGAAGTTTACAACAAAGCAACAATTAATATTAACATGTTTATCAACAATTTTGAAATACCACCACAAAGGCAAATAATTATGAAGTTACTCTGTTTAATTGTGTCAACAAAAAGAAAAGTTTTGTAAGAGTTTGCAGTGAGCATCTTATAAGAGTACAATTAGTCATCGACGTCTCTGTGAGGCAACTTTGTTGCGACGAATTTAACGCACCTCACGTGTAGCATTGTGAAGTGAAATAAAACAAGTAGCGGAAGAAATCTCAACTCAACTAAAATGCGCTAGTGCAGAGGTTCCTAAATTTTCTGCTACTTTCCGAGTATCGATGCTTTAAACGCAAACCATTTAAAACTATTCGATTTATGACACGTTGTTGTCCATCCAACCATCTTTTAATTGATTGTTGGATCCCGCCAGAACTCCTATGTACCGCAGGGGGTCCACATGAACAACTTTGAGAATCGCAACGCTAGAGAATGCTTTCCTATTAACACAATAAAACAAATATGTAATCGTCCTGCTCGACATCTGCGTCGACCGCAAGGGGCTGTTACAAGATAGTTCTAATGCTGTCGACAAGTTGTTTGACTTTGTTTTGACTTCGAACTTCGGTGGGATGTTTTCGGTACGGATTTCAGCAAGTTTGCCAACAGGAGTGTTGTGTCAAAGTGAAATTTCAGCAAATAGTTGCGACATTGTTTCATTTGGGCCTCAGGGAGGGTTCTCGACTCCTCTTAGCTTTAAAGCCTTTAATTGTTTTAACTATTTGTGCAGGTGTACCTAGTGCCAAGTTAACGGAAACTTTATCCTTTAACATTTACCTGTGTTGAAAATGTGAGCGACCGCGATCCGGTCACATTTACGATACACTGTTTAAGGATGTGTAGAGGGACAGATCATTTTGGAGGTCGTCCAAAGTAACACTCATGTTTACTTTAATATGATTACAATAATAAAAATGAAAAATGAAAAGTGAAGTACATTGAAATACGTGCAATGAAATGTTCTGAAGAATCTGGCTTCCTTCAGAGACATTACAGTATTTTCCACTTATTTCATGACATCTCTGACGTTGTTCGAGTGCCTGCAACAATTTCCACAGCCAGTTTACTGCACTGAAAGTGAAATGCATTTCTTGTTTATCTGCTAACACCGGCAATAACGGACACTGTTTGCTGAAGACTTACCGCCGTCATAATGTTATTTTAACAGAATAAGATTACAAATGTTTATTTTGGTTTTGTAAATAACCTCAACGAATGTCATTATTAAAGGTTAAAAATGTGACACTCACTTAAGTAAACTGATAAAATATTCAAATAAGAAGATTGAAAAATGCCAGTTTTCTTATTACTATGCGATTCAAATTATGTAATTTTTATTTATTTTCTATTAAACAATTACAGCAACAGATGGCGCTATTTTAAATCAGTATTTTGAAATCTTTATTGAGGGTAGGTAAAGAAACTTTTACACAATGATTAAATTGTTGCGATACACGACGTGACTGCATTGTTTAAATTAAACCAACTTGCGAATTAAAATAAAACGTAAAAAAAATTGCACCAGATCTGTCAGGCGGACAACAAATGCAATTGTAGTTTGTAATTTCGATGTTATTAACTCACGGAGTTCACCGCAATGATTAATCAATGAAGTAATGAGAAGTTAAGTGTTGTAACGCACATTTCTATACGACTAATTTAATCAATGCAATTTTAAAAATGAATTGCATTAACTAGATTTTCATAATACTGTAAATGCTTGATTTTTTAGATATCCGAAACAGCGTTTAATATACACTCGAATAAAAGCGCGCGAAACCATGTGATTGCAGAACGTGCGTTACTAAAACATTTTCTCAATTTGAACATGAAAAAAATGGAATTTAAGGAGCTGTGCATCTAACTAAACACTAGTACACATAGTGAACACATAAATCACACAGCTACTCGATCACGTAAAAGATAAAATATGTAAAATAGTAATGTGCAGTAGTAGTGTGTGTGTAATTAGCTATACAATTGCTGCCATTCACCCCTTCAGCCGGCAGTATACTTTCTAAATTTTAGTAACCACTACCTAATGACATTTTTCTACTATTTAAATAACGTTATGTTTCTAAACTTACATCTACTTTTATGATTTCTTTCTTTCTTTTATGAGAAAACATCATATCTTTAACCTGACATTAAATAATTATTATAATAACAAAGCATATGAAGCAATTACAAAATCTGAGATATGTTTTAGATAAGAACGTCAATCTGACAGTTGTGTTTGTGAATTAACGGCAGCGTCGTATTCGTATGTCCACAGCGCGATTGCACATCGTTAAACTAATTTGCTCTCCCACGCCGCGGGAGATAAGACGCGTATCTAAAAACAACACAAACAGAGGACGCGGCGCCCGCGAGCTGCAAATGTGAATAAATGCCGCGCGAGAAGGTAGGTCAAAAAACTCGAGCCCGTACCGCCGAGCGACGCACGCCTCTGTAGTCGTTGTGCAACCGCGCCGCGGCCGCCCTCAGAATTAGTTAAACTATCGCCGATGTTCACGGCCGCTTTTTTCAAACAGCTTTTAGAAAATTCGCGATAATAAGCATCAGGGGAGCGATTCACAGCGAGTTAACGACGCTTTCGCACGGCGCGCGGCCATTCGCCAGTCGCCAGTCGCAGGCCGGCCGCAGTGGCGCACTCCTCGCCGACGTTTGCACACCACACGCGCAAAAACCGACGCCGCAACACTTTGGCAACGGATCCTTTACAATTGGGTTGGTCAACGCGGTGAAAGGCTGTCTGCGACTATAAAATAAAAAAAGAAAATCAAATCGGGCACAGTCTGTGCAAAATGAGGTCTGTGCTGATCCTCCTGCTCGCCCTGGCGGTGGCGGCCGTCGCCGAGTTCGGGGAAGAGCCCTGGGTGGAGGAGGAGGAGCTTGACGAGCCCTACAACGAGGAGGACTACCGCCACGAGCGCAAGACGCGCGCCGTCGACGAGGAGGAAGAACCCGTGCCCGACTGCCACAAGCGCGTGCGTCGCACCGCCGCCGCCGAACCGGAGCGTGGCCGGCGCCCGCGCCGCGTGCATCAGTACGAGGTGCACGAGTACCACGAGGAAGCGCGGCCCGCGGCGCCCTACGAGGAGATGCTGGCGGCGAGCGCCGACCACTACCACAGAGTGTACGCGGCGCCGCCCGGGCCTGTGCCGCGCCATCTAGACGCCGATGTGAGTCGCAGCCCCGGAACACCGGGCGCCCATGTGCCGTCTCGTGATCCCGCCCAGTTTGCGGCGGCTCCTGCAGCGCTAGCTTCCTTCCAAAAGACTCCCTTAAATGTCGCTAACCCCGTACACGTGGCTAACTTCGCTTCGGAGTCGGGTCCGGGCCCGGTGGCGCAGGTGGCGGCCAGCGGGCTGGCGCCGGTAGCGAAAGCCGGCGGGCCGGCCGCGCGCCGTCTGGCCGAGGACCAGTTGGGCGCTGCGGGCGCGGCCGGCCACCGCCAGCAGCTGCGCGACGACAGCTGGTTCGCGCAGGGCGGTGGGCACGCCAACAAGGGACACCATCACAACGAGCACGGCGGGAAGGTAAGTGATATACCTTTTCTTTGGCTTCTTAGATTGCAAATACAAAACTCGGATCGATAACATGCTAGTCACAGTTTGTATGTTTAATCAAATTAGTGACTATGACTGAATCAAGGTAGCTATACTTACTACCATTACATTAGTGTGAGCACGTGCATTATAATTAAATTTACTTGAATTAATCTAAACGATGTCAACGTACTTATGAAATAAAAAGTATTGTAGATGCGTTTTACAAACATTGTGCCAATGTTTGACAAACCAGGCGCAGGCGACATCCACAGAGCAATGAATATAATGTATTGTGCAAACAGGACAAAAAGTCGTCCATGTCTTGTGGTCCGGTCCATTGAACATCTAGAGCGGACCTTTCTTCGCCTGCGTTGTCGCCGACGCGCGAACTTCGATGTCTTTTGTAGTTGCCATCGATTTGTAAACAAAATTTAACACGCTACGCAAAGTTTTTATAACCCAAGTGTGAATTCCAACCATTACTTAACCGCATCGTACTTTTATATTTATTTAACATTCAATAAAATCAATTATTAATGTGTAGTGATAATGACTTTAAACTGTATTGAATCTGAAATACTCAACAAAATAACTTATTCTGTAAGCGCTACCTATTGCAGTTCATTTACATTAAATGTGAACTCACATACATATTTCAACGGTACTAATTACAGACCTTTTAACTAATTTATTGCGTAAACAATTTTTTAAGTTATAAATTATAGCTTGTTTGGGGTTTCAAATTTAAGTGAGGAATAACATGATGTAGTTACGTTGTAAAAATATTATATACCATGAGAATTAGATTATACTCAAGTGGCTACATAACTTTAATCAAGTAATACCTTGTTGCTAAAATATAACCAGGAAGTTTGTGAATGAAACAATAGCTCGAAGACAAACTGAACACATCCACTGTTTTAGGTTTTTCAACAAAATTTTCAAACAATTGATAGTTTACAAAATGTAACACCCGGACCGTCTTCCTGCCAACAGACTAAACACTCTTTTATAACTTACACAAACTTATTTTAAATGTAACATTGCAAAATTCAATATGAACACCGTTTGCGATCATCTTACTAATATTAGAAGTACGAAAGTTTAAATGGATGGATATTTGTTAGAGTTTAAAGCCTAAACGGCTGAACGGATCTCGATGAAATTTGGCGTAGACGGAGAACATAGTCTGGAATAACACAGGCTACTAATTAACTTGTTTATGAATTCCTCGCGGACGAAGTCGCGGGTAAAAGCTAGTTATTCATGTGTCTACAAGACAATATTTTCAAAAATAAATTTAACCAATGATGCAATATTAACTTTCAGATAAACACGTAAGTGGTATCTACGAGTATTATGTTTCTGAGGTTATGGTGTTCATGGATCCATGTATGTCCCGTTTAGTTGTTCTGTTTGTATGGATGTCTTGTTTTGTCCGTATTTGTCTTATTATGTGTTTAGAATAATCCAATAAACAATACAACCATATATTAATGACTAAGTTTACAAACCTTATCACGCAAGTAAAAGTAACCGATATATTTTCCTTATGTCATCAAATCTCTGGAATGGGTTGGAACTAAACGTCCTTGACTACACATACTAGCACTTGTGTAACAAGAAGCTACCATCATAGGTAACATAATCACCTGTATTCACAGACAAGCAAGGGCTATGACTCAGACCACTACGTAGACAAGGGTGCAAAGGGCTTCAAGAAGGACGAGAAGCACCGCAAGGAGTACGAGGAGGCTACGGGCAAGAAGAGCAAGCACCACGACCGCGCTGCGCACTCCGGAGATCACGAGGAGGAGGCATTCGGGCACAGGGGATCCAACTTTGCTGAGAAGAAGGGACACAAGAAAGGCCACAAGACCAAGGGTAAGAATATCTTGAATGTGTAACATGTAACAATTACTTTTTCAGATTGAAACAAATTATTTACAACACAAGAAATATTATGTCACTAATGAACAAGTATGTAAATAGAAATAGTTTAAATACGTTGCTAGCCAAAAGTAGACTGACGTAGACAACTGGCCCACGATCGCTGGATTAGATAGGTACTTTGTACGTCTACGAAGTCATCAGTATTGACCAGTTATTATATTTATGTTTTAGATAGCTAGTCTCTTTGGAATCATAAATCAACAAAAAAGTCTGTAAATCTATACAGAAGTAGTTTATAACAATTTTATGTGACGACATTTAACCAATTCAACAAAATAGATTACATAAAAAGTCGTACGGTGTGACTATTGCATCCAGATTGTCCGCGAACAGCCGGTCGCGGCGGCAGCGGTTCACAACTCTCGTAACGAACTCTTAATAACCTTTTCCACGAATTACTTCGTATTACACGGACATTACGAGGAAATGTAACTACGGTCAGTGAAAGCGTACTGTTTCTTACGTAATATTGTTTTTTTCTTCGCATTTCAATGACCCCGGCCGCGGGCAGTAACGCGATCATTTGTTTTTCGCCGCAGACATTGTTTATTAGTGCCGTCCTAATAACTTCGATGGGAAATTTAAAAGGAAAGTGTTTTCTCGTTCAATTAAATATCACACTTATTTGTTATTCATTTTATGTTGAATTTGATTTCATATCGACTTTCGTACATAGACTGTGAACTGAACAAGGACAACATTCATAGAAAACGCGTATTTATGATAGGTTTTTGTTCAATATTGACGTATTCTACGTACAAGAAGTCAAAGGTTATATGTCGAAGGTCGTTCTATTGTTTTAAAGATGGATGACAAAAAAAAAATACCATGCACAAAATTACGTTAACTATCTTTAGTGTATTTCAAGGAAACAATAACCTTTTTCGTGTTTTAAAACAACTAATTATTAAGACAATTTCGATTACACGTTTTCCATCTTAAAAGTAAACATTTTGAAACGAGGCACGGAACAAAAATCGATACAACGCAGCTTATAATAGTGTATATACGCTAAAAAGTCGGTTTGTGATACACGACTTGTTTCTTTTTGTTACTATCCCTTCGTTTGCATTCACTGCTATCTAATTAGTTATTTATCGGATGAGGCGGAGCTTGTCTCGTTGCAATGAACAAGTCAATTTTTTCTGTCTTCAGGAAAAATTGCCCTTTTCTTTGTACTTGGAACAGCGCAGATGTACGCGACTGTACATTATAGTAAAATCTTTTATGTGTGTGCGTTAGGTTTCCACAATAAGTACCACAAGGACGAGTTTAAGAAGGAGCACAAGTTCTACGACGACTTCCACAAGAGCGGCGAGCACCACCGCTTCGGCAAGTTCAACGCCAAGCACGCCGCCAACGAGAGCGGCAAGAAGCGCGCCCATCACCTCAACGCCGGGCACGACTTCGTCGAGCACGGCAAGAAGGGATACAGGTACCAACAGCTAAATAACATTATAAAAAATATCAAGGGGTCCCGCGACTCCCTCCGCGTTGAATTAAAAAAAAAAAAAAAACAAACTATCCTCTATATCTATTCCAAATTTCATAGATCGTTCAGCAGTCAAGGCTCGAACAAACATCCATCCATCCATCTAAACTTTCGTATTTATAATATTAAGAAGATTAGTAAGACTAATTTGATAGAATCAAAAAAAAATGTATACGATAAAGACAGTAAAAAAAGTACATAAAATCTAAAAAAATTTTACAAGTTTGGTGATTAATTAATGCGCAAAATTTTTTAAGAAAAAATATTGGTTAACCAAGAGCTAGCTAAATTTAATACACCTGGCCGCCACAAGTACCGAGACTTAATAGTGGGCGTGCATATAGTGTTACATGTCTTATGTCCTTGTCTCCCTGTCTGGACTTGGCTCCGTTCAGTGCACATGTTAACTCTCGTATAATAATTTATAGCATGGGTACACTTGGCTTCATATGTTTCATGACAGAGATATCTATTTTGAAGCCAGTTTTGATGTTAACTAGAAATTAATTGTTATTCAATGTGTAGCAACAAGGGGCACATCGACGCCGACCACAAAGGATACAACGGCAAGAACGGGCACGAGGAGCATCATGAGAATCACTCGCAGTACGGCAAGAAGGGGGGTCGGGGCGGGGGCAAAAGCTGGGGACACGACACAAAAAACTAGCCACACACAGCCTCGTCCGGCACATCCTCGGCTGAAGTATCCCATACGACATGGTGTTATATCGTAAACGTTTTGTTAGAATTTGTATACTGGGGCCAAATATATCTTATAGAAGTAAGTAAAGAAGTTATGTTTAACTCGATCGAATTTAAGCGTATGTGATATAGAATCACGAGTATTATTTAGGAAATGGTATTTAAATTATATTACTTGTAGTTGTTAGTTATAGACATGGAATATATACCTCTTATTATTTATCAATTTTCAAGTTAATATTAGATCCCATGTGAACTACGATGTAAGTGTCATTTAACAAGATAGTAAAGATTTTCAGTATGTTTATGAAAGAATATACTAAAATGTAATAGAGTAATCAGTCAAATTACAGAATCTTTTTAAGTAAAAGTTACTTTAATTTGAAAGTTGTAAATCCAATGAATTCCAAGATACCGCTTGAAGTGTTGGCTAAGCTAAACGTCCAAGTATTTTGACTTGTGTCTTTACAATATATTCTATGAGTGACTGATTTAATAATTCAATAGAGCCTTTTCATTGGGAGTTACATTCCCATAGTTACAATGATTATTATTCATTTACTTAATTTTGATGATTACTCGATATAAGTAAACCCCCATCAAACAAGCCATAAAATTTATTAATGGAATTAGATGTATACAAGATTGTAAGACTTTGTATCATTTTGTAACTTGTAAATAAAAAAATGTATTTAAATGTTGTGTATTATTTTATTAGATTCGATACCTGGTTACACTAAACTTTTCGTTCGGTACATACAAAAATAAACTAATTAATATGAGGATGGTGAAGGTATGTCTAATTAATAACACTGATTTTTGCTGTTTACTGTTTCACTGAGAATTTTTCTTTGAATAAAGTAATCAAAGTCACACGTGATTCGAAGCTATTAAACAGTATTAAAGGAATGGTGGTTTGCAAGGCAGCGGCTTGGGCTTGGATGGGTCAAAGAACTTGGAGTAGACGGCGACGGTGAGGTGCGGCCGGCGCGGGAAGAACACCTGGTGGCCCGTGCGGTCCACGTAGTCGTCGTAGTTCATCGACCACTCGCGCGTCATGCCGCACTTCTCGCAGATCTTCGCACTAAAACCACCCACAAAACACAAAAAGGCTCATAATTTTATCATTACAGCTGATACAACTGATTATAGAAATATAATTTACACCCGAAGAAATTATGAGTTGTTTAAACACAAAAAAATAGCAGGCGCATTCTTACGCGTAGTGGCTGACCGCGATGACCTGCGCCACTGGGTAGCCGAGATCTTCGGCATGCACCAGCGTCGCTGACAGCAGCCGCGTGCCCACGCCGCGCGCCGCCACCGACGCGTCCGTGCACAGCACCTCCACCTGCAACAACCTCCTCTCTACCACTATTCATACATACATGTAAATTACTACTATCTCAGTTTCAATTTTGGGGACTTAGGGTATTTATGACACATTCCTAGAAAGAATGAACGAAATCTAAGTTCAGTCAAATCAAAATTACATATAAATGCTACTGCACAATGACAGGGACGTATTTAATATTCGTAGAATCAAACTATTGAAGCACATTGATCCAACCAACAACTACAACACAAACTAAAATGAAAAGTCATTGAATACTGACGTCATAAATGTACTCGACATTGTACTTCCTGATAAGGTCGGCATTCTTGATGCAGTGAGCTATAAAGTACATGCGTGTGCGGTCGGGCTTGCAGTAGGTGAAGTTGGCCCACTCCTCCAGCTCGGCCACCATCCACGGGAACAGCTTGTTGGCCGCGCACACCCCGATCAGCCGCGACTCACGTGTACGATCCAGCTGCTCGAATGCCAAAAAGCGATCACCTAAAGAGTATCATTTTAATATTTGAATAAATATCGATTTTAATGTTAGTTTACTATTGATCTGAATGTTGAAAGGGCAAAAAAAATAATTTTACCGGAATTAGAGTACTTTTCAGTGAGTATATCGAGGTAGGGGCTGTCGGAGGACATCCACAGGCCGACGACACTGGGCTCGCGCGGCCAGCAGTGCGCGTACAGAAACAAGCGTATCATGTTTGAATGGCACTTGTTCGCGCGCTCCACTCGCACCTTTGTCATGTCGAAGCACTGCACAATTTGATAAACAGAATCATGTTGGCTGATCTGTTACATTAATTGTACTCGGATGTCTATAATCAGGATAATGCTATACACGGAAGTTGTAATGGTACAATATAATTATAGTTGAACATGCAATACTACCGGCTTCTTATTGGGAGTGACGTCGCAGGGCGAAGGCTGCCTGAGCCTGGCGACGGCCATGATGCCGGCCGGCGGGGGCGCCAAGCTCGCCAACTGCAGAGCGCCCAAACGACAAGCTCTCAAACAATACATTTTTATGTTACAGAGTTTTTGCTAATTGTTACATTTTTTATTTAATTTTAAATAAATGGTTTTGTAGAATAAAGAAATGATGTGAGATGAAGTATGTCAAGACGATGTAGCCTAGACTAAAACGATGATAGATGATACAATAATTAAAAAAACATTTTACCTGAATCATGTGAAATACTTTACTATTCATTGAGACAGATATCGTTAAATTAACGATCATGTAAAACACATTTATGTACACATTAACTAAATACAAATAAAATAATTTCTAGCTGGATGAAAATACTTATTTATTGCAGAATTATGAAACAAACAAAAATATAAACTGTCACAATGTCAATATTGAATTACAAAATTCCATGTAACAAATTAGAATAGAAAACAACCCAAAAACATGTTGATAATTACGGACCCTATACAATGAAAAGATCATCCTGAGTGCCGCCACAACGACTACTTAGCGACAACCGCCATGTCCCGCACGATCCCCCACCTCACCCTGGCGGTGGCACGAGCCTGCCTCAAGTTGCCGTGCACCAGCCTCCTTAGCAGAACCATCGCCAGGAGTTTTGCAGATATCGCTAAGAAGGATTCGCCTTCCAAAGTTGCGGTGAGTAAAGAAATAATTTATGCAAATAGATATAATTAAAATTCAAAAACTGTTATCAAACTTGCGAACTTAAACTTCGTCGAGTTTTGTAGCTTTTGAACAAGGCACGGATGTACCGAGACAGGAGCGAGACGAGAGTAAAGAGTAACGAATTTAGATGGTGTACTTT